TCCCTTATAAGAAACTTAAAAATTAGGAGGGGGAAAAAAAACCCTCAACAATGAAAAGAATGAGTAAAAAACATATAAAATTCACAAGAATTGATTACAAAATGGTCCTTAAACACGAAAAAGTATTCAATTATACCAATAGTGATAGTCAAATTACACTGAAGTAACATTTTTCACTCACCTTATTGCCAAAACGAAAATGCAAAATACCATACCCTTGGTGAGGTTGTGGGAAAATAGGACCCTCTCTTATACTGAGGTGGGCACACAAACTTGTACAACCTTCATGAACGGAATTTGGCAGTTTTTGACACAATTGCATATGTATTTACCTTCTGATACAACATTTCCAATTCTGGGAGTTTACACCAAAATATATATGAATACCCCCAACAATTTGAAAAGACATCCTATTTTTTCATATTTTCTTTGTAGCATTATTTGTAACTGAAAAATATGGAACATAATCTATACATTCATACATAGAGGAATGGCTGAATAAATTCTTACACATTTACCCAATGGAGAGCTATAGTTTTTTGTTTTCTAAATGAGAAAGATCTCTGTGAACAAATCTGCAGTGATTGCCAAGGTATATCTTTAAATGAAAAAAGCAAAATTCACCTAAACTTCTAAAGCATGCTAGTTTTTATGTAAGAAAGAAGGGGAAATAAGAAAACAGGTAAGTATTTGTTGATCTGTGCAAACAAACACAGGAAGGATTTACCAGGTACTGATTATCTATTGGGGATAGGGTGGAAAGAACAGAAACAATGGGAAGGAGGAAATTGCCAGTTCTGGGTATATTGTTTTGTATAGCTCTGACTTATGGAAGAGTGTTAATGTTTCACATACATAAACATAAAACTACCAACCAAGAAAATAAAACTACCACGTATGGAGAAAAATCATTAAAACAAAACACCATCAGAACTATATGAAACTCACTATGTTCCAAATGAAGTACTACTGCACATACTGGAGAAGGAGAAAACTTAAAGTTTTCACCTAGGTACTCTGTTATTATTTTTAATGAGATATAATTTGCATACCATAATATTCACTCTTTAAAGTGCACAGCTCAGTAGCTCCTGTATATTTACAAGGCCATACAACCAACACTACTGTCCAATTCCAAAACATCTTTCCAAAAAGAAATGGCAGACCTATTAGCAGATACTCAATAATCCTCCCTCTCCCAGCTCCTAGCAATCACTACTCCACTTTAAGTCTCTATGGATTTACCTATTTTGAATATTGCATGTAAGTGGAACCATATTTTGTTTGGCTTCTTTCAGTTTGCATGTTAAGGTTCATCCACATTGTAGTGTACATCAATTCTTCATTCCTTTTTATGCCTAAATATTTCCCTGTATGTATATACCACAGTTTGCTTACCTGTCATCAGTTGATGAACACTGGTGGTGTTCCCTTTAAAAATAAATTTTTTTAGCTATTATGAATAATGCTACATGAATAGTCATGCTCAAGTTTTTATACAAACATGTTTTCAATTCTTTTGGGTATTTATGAGTGGAAATTTTGGGTCACATGAGACACCCATTGTTCCTATGTTAGCAGTTTGATAGCATCTCACAGGTCTCTGATAATCTGTTCATTCTTGCTTTCTTCTTTTCCTTGTATAATCTCAGTTGAGCTATTTTTCAAGTTTGGCACATCTTCCTTCTGCCTATTTAAGTCTACCGTTAAGCCATTCTGTTGAATTTTTCATTTCAGTAATTGTACTTTTCAACTCCAGAATTTCTTTTTGGCTTTTCTTCATAATTTCTACCTTCTTATTGATATACTCTATTTGGTGACTTTCTTTCAGCTCTTTAGATATAGTTTCCTTTGGTTCTTTGAGCATATTTAAAAATAGCTTCTGCTGGGCTCGGTGACTCAGCCTGTAATCCTAGCGCTTTTGGAGGCCGAGGTAAGTGGATTGCCTGAGCCCACGGGTTCGAGATCCACCTGGGCAACTTGGAGAGACCTCATCTCTACAATAAATAAAAAATTAGCCAGGTGTGGTAGCGTGCGCCTATAATTCCAGCTACTTGGAAGGCTGAGGCGGAAGGATCGCCGGAGCCCAGCAGGTGGAGGCTCCAACTCAAAAAAAATAGAAAAAATAAAAATATAAAAATAAAAATAGCATCTTTAATGCCTTTTTCCCCCTCCCCTCCCCCCAATGTCTTTTTTTTTTTTTTTTTTTTTTTTTGG